CCGGTTCATCAGACAGCTCATGAATCATACATGACAGAGCACCAAAAAGGATGATCCTAAAAACATAGCATGATGACTGTTAGGATGCGTAGCTGAGAACATATGTAGGTTGTGTAAGTTATGCACAGGAGTAGAGCTGGGCAACAGAACTTCTTGCAAAGATGGAAATTTTCTGCATCTGTTCTGCCCTGAGCACTTGAAATAAGACCAGTGTGATTGAGAAACTGCATTTTAATTTAATTTAATGCACTGAAATTAATTTAAATATCACATGCTGCTAATAGCTGCTGTATTAGACAGCAGCAATCTAGGGAATTAATTTGGGGAAAGAAAAACAAGTCCTCTCAGCTTGAAAATCAGTAAGAAATCCATCATACATGCCCCACTAAGCCCTCAATGGAGAGAGCTGGAAAGCCACACAAACAAGTCACAGGCCCTGAGCCTGTCTCAGAGCTGCTATTAACAAGTAGAAATGTGATGGATGGACCTGGTTTAAAAAAAATATTTTTAATGCATGTGTTTGAAAACTAAAAATAGTTTTGAGACTAGAGCATGCTGAAGTAAATGAAAGGATGGACTAAAGAAAGGGAAGGCAGAATAACACAGAGAAAGGGAAGCAGTCAGAACGAACCACACGGAAGGCTGAAGCAGAAACGCATGGGAGCCCGGCACGGGAGCGGACAGCCAGGACCGTGAAGCTGGGCTGTGGACAGAGGACAAGGCCCTGAGCTTTACAGTGAGAACACGGGGAGAGAGAGAAGGCTGCTGCGATGTGAACAAATCCACTTAGCCATGAGCCTGAGGATGACAGTAGGGGAGGCACGGGGGAGGCCATGTTCGGCAGGGCGGCCGGGGCAGCCGTCCAGGGCATGGCTTCCTCAGGGTCCTTAGATGAAGGCGAGTGAGGGCTGAAATCCAGCCGACCCTCCACTTCCCAACTGATGAGCCCGGGCGTCGGCCTTCATCAGAAGATGCCGTTTTCTAATTCCCATCCCAAAGCAGCCTCTTTTCTCCCTATTTCATGTAGAGATCCTATTATTGTACCTGACCAAAATCACACTTGCCTTTAAGCTGAATCTCCAAAATGAAGCTTCCACTATCTGTTATAGAAGTACCAAACGTGGAGGGTGACATCCGACTGTGTGCGTGGGACACGGAGAGGAAGGCAGGATAGCTGTCGCACCTGCACGCAGGGACGTGAACCATCCGAGTGATAATCACTTAAATAGAAAACAAAAACAGGAGCAAGCTGGAGATGAAAACGCTGCTAATTATGATTTTAGTTCAGTATCTACCTCTGATTTGTTCTGTAGCTGTTCCCTGGCTGATGAAGCCTCAAGCTGCAATTGCCCCGTAAACGTGGGACAATTGTGTCTGTGTTGCAGAAACCAGTTTCTTCTCATTTGCATGTACCGATAGATGTGCTCTTTCTCTTTCATGTCTACATGTACAATGAGAACAATTAGCATGGGTCACAACGAAAGCTAATTCTCTTAAGTGCACGACACGTTGACGCACACTTAGCTGGTGCTTTCCACCGGGCATCCTGCGCTTTGGTTGGCCATAAAACCTCTCAGGATACTAGCAACAAGCACCTGTCATACAACATTAAACGGAAGCCCCATAAACGTGTTCAAGTGCATGAAACGCCACGGGAAGGGCTGGTGTGTAAGCCTTACAGGCTGGAAGGAGGAAGAGAGGACTTCCGGGGACTCGGAGAGGAAGTCACGTTCGTGAGGCCTGGAAAACTGTGAGGATGGACGGATGGCTGGGGTGGGCCGGCTGTGCATCCCAGGGGAGGTCTGAGCGAAACGCCCAGGGCAAAACAAGCAAAGCCCCGTCGTGCATGGATGGGGCGGTGTGAGAGCGCCGTCTCACTGGACCACAGGGCCTAGGAGGAGACAGCAGGGCTGGCTGTGAAGATGCTGTCTCGCTGTCATAAAGAGTAACACACGGAACAGGACAAGGGCATACACCACTCAGCCAGGGGCGTGAGGCCCGAGTCTGATCAGAGCTGTTCTGGGAAGGAGGACGTGCTGTACGTGTTGGTGGGATTGGGCCCGGGCGGGTGAACAATGAAGAAATAAGAGGAACTTCGTATGTCACACTCTGAAAATTCAGTTTTCGTATCTGGAATAAACACACTTGTATACAAGGTGAAATCTAAATGATGAATTTGGAAGCTGTCCTCCTGGATTTGCAGTCCATTGTGTAAACACAAACTTACTGGACTGGATTAGATAATTGAGGGATTCTTTTCTTCATTCCTTCCTTTATCCAATCAAACTTCTTTGAGAAACTACCACAGGAATATAAAGAGAAGAGCCTGCACATGGGGGGGGGGGGGTGCTTGCGAGTACAGGAGCATTGCTGGGATCCTGAATTTCCACAGGAAGTCTCTGAGGCTTTCACGCACAGTCATCAAAAGGCAAAATTGAAAAGTATTGATACTATTTACAAATGACGATAAATTAAAATCAAAGTGTTCTAAAAATGACTATGCATTAATGCCTTATGTCCATCAAAACCTAACAAATATTCCCTTGGACTTACCTTGAACTTCTTAATATTTTCCAAGTGTTTCTAAGTGAAAATGCAACTCTAAGTTTAAAAACATAACTCATGGAATGAGATTGGATTTCCGTTCACTTTCATAACCTAAGGACAATCTCAGCGACTCAGAACCTTCCAGGAGAATGGAACTCTATTAGCAAACACATAACAACATATGGCAGCAGCAATTAACTACTATATGAATTTCTCTCTATAAGAAGGGGATTTTAAACGCATGTGCAATCAATCTGAATTTACAGTTTTGTAATTAGTTTTACATTATTTTAGTTCATCCTTGGAACATTAAGTATCAAATATCTAGATATGATTTACTGGTTATTTCAATGATCAAAAATATTCACAAGTTTTAGTAATCACATTATAATGTCTCTTTTAATAAAATCATATAGAAAGAGAAGAGGAAATGTTGACACGAGTCTCTCTTTTTTAACATGACAACAGCATGAAATAGCAGGAATGTTTGAAGCTCTTTGTCTTTAAAGAGCCTCACAGCTCTTACACAGATTTTGAATTAAAGTCCATCCTAGCTGGTAATATGACTATGTTATAATTTTTATTTAAAAAGAGATTGTCTTACCTAAATGTAACATCATTCTCACAGGTTGTTGACTTGCCTTTTTAAAGGTTTAACCAGATTTTAACCAGATATTCATAAACTTGAGGCAAACTGTAAATTGTGCTTTTTCATAGCACTTACAAGCTGAAACTCACAAATATATTTGCACAAACATGAACTGAAACATATTGAAAAATATATTTCCCAAACAACAGATTTGGAGAGGTTCTTGTTCTAAATTGCTGGCAATCTCAGTTCACATTATTTGAATTTCAACACTGGAAATCTCACATTCAGTGTTTTACACATTTAAAGACGACTAAACTGAAAATTTTAAATTGATAAGAATGTATAAGAACTCTATACCTTCTTTAAAAAGTACTTTATCTTGCTTTACACATGGGGTAATTTTCAATGTTTAGAATCAGAATGCATATTGACAGTTAATCTACCAATGTGTCAAAACCTAAGTAAACTATGTTGAGCCTGATCCACTGTAAAATTGAATAGCGGATGTCTAACCGATTTATCATTCACACTATTGATATGTGAGGATGTCACTGCTAAGGATGCCCCACTTCCTGCCTGCATCCATCACATGAAAATGCTGGTAATTACCTGGGCTGCCAGCAGCCCCACAGCGGGTGACTCCCCAGTGAACGCTGAAGCCACTGCAGACCTCACCGGGTGACTGCCGGCCGCCTGCACATCTGTCTGCCACTGCCAGGGACAAAAGTGGCTTTTTCTTCCTGCCTGGCAGAGCCTGTGTGAGTGTCTCTCTTTGACAGCATCTGAACTGCAAGCCAGCGGCAGCGTGTTCTGGCGAATAGTATTCACATGCTTCCAAGCTAAGTGGCGGCAAATGTGGGAAGGGCAGCCATGATGCCGGAAGGACCCTGGCTGTGACAAAAGGGAAGCAAAAGCAAGAGGTGTTTAGCTTTCATCCTTAGGATAGAAGGGAAATATGTAAATGCATATCAAATCACGAAAACACGAAACCCGAGGTGTCCCTGGGAAGCGTGGAATCCTGAGATTGAATTTATAGCCTAGTTGTTGAAAATGGGCCTGAGTGAAGCCCCCGGCTCACCAGCTCACTTCCCGGCCCCATTTCCACACTTACCAGTTTATTTGGCACCGTTTCCATTTTAAAGATAAGCTGTGACTAGCATGAAAACAAGTCATAAACATGAGAGGGGAATATAATAAAGAAGAGGCAAAGGATTATACATGGGAAGAATTATGCAAGAAATCTGAGGTAGAGAGAAAATACCAACCGTCTCCAGTGAAATAAGGAGCCAGCAGCCTGTCCCTGCACTGGGTTGCTCTGGGTTGTACCTGGGACAAGCCTGGCTCTGCAGGGATTCCAGGAAGCAGGTCAGGGAGGGCCCCTGAGGGTCCCTGGCCCACCGCCTCCAGTGCTGCAGGCGGAGACACAGCAGCATCTGTGCCTTGAGCTTCAGCAGGACAGTGATTGGAGGATGGGTAACTGAGTGCCCTCGGTTCTTCTGCCTGGGCTCAGCCAGGCCCTCAAATCTTCCTCTCAGCTCTGAGACATCCATTTGCGTCCTTGTCCATTTGCTGAGTAAGTTACAGGCTAGGTTTCTGGCTAATGTGAACACTGGGCCCCTGGAGTGCATTTCAGGCCCTGAGGGAAAGAGGGTTATCAGCACATGGGGTGGATGGCAGCGCCAATCCAGCTGTGCTGCAGGACTAACAGGGCAGCTCCTGGTAGGCGGCAATAACACCGCTACCTACGACTGACTCCTGCATGGACAGCTCTTTGACAATAAAGTCTTTAGAGGCCTGAGAGCCTGTGCTGTTTGTCCGATTAGCAAAGAGAGTGAGGAACTCTGTTTCCGTTGTGCACTAGGAAAGAAGTGATCTTTGGAGGTTTCGCTCAGCAGAGGAGGGAGTCCGGGTCACCGATGCTGAGAGGTAATGTCTGTGTCCATGGCCACACCTGTGACAGCTCCTGAGAAGTCCTCACCCCATAGACAGAGGGACAGCCGACTGCGACTTCACTGCGGCCTCTGACAGTCCAACTCATCTGGGAAAGGAGAAAGCGTCCAGCCTCTCTGCTCTTATTAAGCTATAGCCCGGCTGTAGCCCCAGGATTCAGAAAAATCCCTCCTTTAAATTGTGTAAGTGAATTGTAACTACGTATGTAATTCTTTCAAACTATTGTAAGAGAATTGAAAAAAATGAGTACTTTTTAGTTCTGTGGTTATATTTGACACTGTGCCAAAAATTTTAATTTACATAATTTAATGCATGTTCCCTCTTATTGAGTCTGAGACTCATTTTTGTCCTTTATTATTTCATTTCCATAGTTAAATTATCTACCATATAGATTATCATTATTTTGGAGCTAATATATGTTGTGTGCACGGAGTATGCATACAATGGTAAATATTACTTGCATTTGCTTCATATGCAATTTGAAGCAGTTGATACCTTTTACCTTTAGAATGTTTGATACATTCAAGTAAAAATGTGTCTAATATCAGAATAAAAAACCAAAGACAAGGAAATGCAATGCTTGCATGCGAATTACTTATAAATTTGATTTAAAAAATAGATGACAACAACAACAAGCATAATTAGCATAAACAAGAAATTCAGTGCACTCCAAACCACTTTGCTGAATGACTAATAGAAAAACCCTTCCTTCTCACGACCAGGTATGGATCAAGTTCACGCTGTCACGATAGAGACGAAAACCACAGGGGCTCAAGGTCCAGCCGTGACTCGGTCTCCACCCACAAGCATCATCGTTTCTTGCATCCTGCTACTTGGGCAGGAGGTCAGCACGTGCATGTGCCCTCCTCTCTCTGGTCACCTGCAGGACGGCCAGCTCAGGCCAGGCTCTGAGAGGCCCCGCTCCTAGGAGGACCAGCATCCTCAGAACCCCCTGCTCATGGGGTGAGCCCTGGAATGGCCCTGCAGCTACAGAACAGATCGTTTTCCGGGCCTCCAGCCATAGGCGGGGATGATGCCAGGAAGCCGGGGTTTGGGGTAACCCCTCCCCTTGGCTCCATGGGGAACAGAGTCCAGGACAGTGCCCCCTTCTGGGGTGGCAGCCTCAGTTCCTATATCTGTCTTTCCGGGCAATCTGGAGAGAGCTCCCGAAAACATTCCCCGCCTGCGATCCTACTTGTCTCCAGGCTGACTCCTTGCTTCCCGCGAAGCCCAACCAGCAGGGAGGGGTCACAGGTGCGTGGAAGGCCTGACGGTACAGCCTGGGCATCTACCTGGAAAACAAGAGGAAGGCTAACAGCTCCCATGGAGGCTCCTGGAGGCAGAGGCCCCAGTGCAGCACCTCACATCCCACGACGTCTCATCCGCTGGAAGCCATCACGAGCACATGCTTCACAGGGGCGCCAGTGCAGTCCGCTCCCCTAATGGAAGAGGACAAGGGCTCAGGGAATGGACAGCTTCTGCCACCGCGAGGTAAGATCGTCATTTTCTTTTCAGACTATTCTCGTTTCAAATTGGATGTTGACACATTTCCTTGGAGTATAATAACAGTGTCTTACTCACCCAACATCATTTTCTCAACTTAAATGGTAGAAAGAAACTCGTGCATACGGGTTATTGTGATACTTGTTGGAGAAAAGTGTTTTTCACGTACAGAATTTTATTTGCATACAGTATCCTTTGAAAATAAAACAGTTAACAAGAGATCTTTTTAACCCCTAAACATTGGCATTTCTATCAAAATTCACTTTTACATGTAGTTATTTTGAGTCTATATTTAGGTACCTAACATCCAAAAGTAGCTTTTAAAAACTATCATAATGTATATTTTTCAAAGAAACATTTACAATGCCTTTATAGTAAAAAGCTGGTTAGTATAATAACAATATACAGTTTATAACTGAAGGGCATCCCAATATCTAAATATTTCCCCTTTATTCTTTATGTCACAGAAAATATTTCTAATATGAGCTAGTCATTATCTTGAAATCACATGTTCCTGCTTAATATAATCACCCAAATACCCACACAAAGCAAGACAGCTGTAGTTTAGAGGAAATAGTGAAAATAATGTTCACTGTTTTGCACAAGAATCAATGTAAGTTATAATGGAAAGTCCTGTATGTATAGGAAAAATAAGGTTAACATTTAAAATCTTTACTGAAGGAAAATTGAATTTAAGGAAGGATTTGAATCATGAAGTCAGAAAAATCCTGAAAAATAAGTGATAATTTATTATAAGTCACGTTTACTGGAATGTCACAGTGAGAGGTGAACTGTCGTGAGAAGATGTTTAGACGAGGATGTTGCTGTCCCTGAGTGGAAGGCCCTGGCCAGTAAGCGCATCATTTAACTCCCCTGAAATGAAATGATATTCCAATATGAAAACAAATGAGAAAAAGAAGTAAACTATTGTAGGCATGAGGGATAAAATGTAAGTATGATATTTAGCTTTTGAGGTGGTACAAAGTTGACAGAAATAATAAAATGAGGTAGTCCTGGTCGTCTTCATGACATATTTAAAAGCATGTCATCACTCTTACCTGATTAAAATAAGTTGTAGGAAATATAATACGTATATTAGAACATTTAAAATTATCAGCTGCTAATTTTCATAAAACATGGACTAGAAAAGGTCATATATGCCATCACTCCTGATTTTCTCTACCTTGACACATTAATAATATGTATTAGGACTAGAAAATGAAAAGCAGAGCTCATTTAACATACCAAAATCCTGTGAAATAGAACAACTTTTATCAAACCCAAAATGCAATATTTTAGCTTTATTAAAAAAAATCTATTTATAAAGTTAAACCTGGGACTACAACCAATGTCTCATAACAAAATCCCCAATAGACATTGCCCATACCTATACATTTATTGTACTAGAATTTAAGACCTAGAATTTGAGGCATCAGGCCATGCAGAGCCTGTAGAGCCACCACTGGAGACACAGAATTAGGTACACTGTCACCAATAAAGTACTGGCTGTGTACACTTCGGCAAAATAGGAATAAGTTCAGCACTCAGGCATCTTGCCAGGATGGAATGCGATGATATAGATGAAGTTTTAGTTTTATAATCATTTCATGTCCTCATCTTTCAGCAGTAGTTCTTACCTCAAGAGTGTTATGAGGATTTCTCAATCACTGTCATTGTTAGTTTAATTATTATTTCAGCTGGCTTTTATTGCCTGCATACTCTATTCCAGACACTAGAGTCAGATGTTACATGCATTATATCCTTTAACCTTCACAGCAACGATGAGTTCAGCACCAATTTTCAATATTTAGAGCTCAGAGCATCTGTAACTTCCCCTTGTTTATTTGTTAACACGGTAAGGTCTCAAGTTCAGGTACATCTGACACAAAAGACTGTACTTCAAGCCATGACCCTCTAATGAGATAATAGGAATGATCCAATGAGCAAAATGATACAGAAACACCCCCTCTTTCAACGCATACAGTATGTCCTTCCTACATTAGTCCCTGGGTTTTTATCACATAGTATTTGCAACTGGGCAAAGGCATGTACAGAGAGCTGGCGAGAAGAAGGCAGGCGGCCAAGTGCACAGGGGTGAGAAGGCCGCTTGGGAGCCCTGGGAGGAGGGCAACGTGGGGGAATCGGCAGACCCCAGGCTTGGGAAGGCGACCCGCGTAGGAGCCCATGCGGGGCCACTTGCGTGTTGGGAGGCTGCCGAATGGGGCCTCACACAGGGGACCCCCACCCCCAGCCGTCCTGTGCGGGGCTGCAGTGTGTCACGCGTCAGCAAGCAGCCCGGGCTGTGCGCGCTGAGGCCGACCACGCAGCACAGGCTCCGGCTCCTCCAGCCCTGAGCGCGGTGCTTCTCTCCTTCCTCCCTCCTTTCCTGCCTTTATCGTTTGTTTCATGCAAACGCGACATCAGAGCACAGCCAGCCACCCCCCCAAGCCCCCCGACAAAGAAGTTTATGACCACCACACACCACAGACCCCACACTGGCCCCCCAAGATGACAGCGGAGCTGAAAATGCCTATCGCCTAGTGACGTCGCCGCCGTGGTGACGTCGCCCGTGACATAGTAGCCGCCCTGGTGAGGCTGTGATGTAGCTCAGAGCAGCCTCTGTCTGCGGACGGTAGCGCTGGGGGCTGGAGAGGCTTGGGGTGCTGGCTCCCTCAGGCCAGGAGCTTCCCACAGTCTGTCCCCTTTCTGACCCCGGGACACCCGGACGACCCTGGGGGTTCTTGTCACCAGATAAGCAGCTGCGCAGCGACGACCTTAGGAAACCGAGAGAAAGGAGCGTGTGACCTACAGGCCCTGGAGGGGCGGCCCGGGCGGCCCAGGCGGCAGGTGGGTTCGCGGGAGAGAGCGGGCCATGCTACGCGTTTATTGGAGTGAGGACTGTGCGTTTATTGGAGTGCAGACCACGCTGCACGTTTACTGGGGTGCTGGCCGCACTGCGCGTTTACTGGGGTGTGGGCCGCGCTGCGCGTTTATTGGGGTGCTGGGCGGGATGTGCATTTATTGGGGTATGGGCCGGGCTGTGCGTTTATTTGGTGCTGGCCGGGCTGCATGTTTATTGGGGTTCAGGCCGGGGCCCAGGGACTCTGGTTTCGCTCTTTGTTGTTGAGTTTATTGGTGAGTAAGAATTGGGGTTTAAAGCCCAGGGAGAGGAAACAACAAGTAGCCCGGATGGTCAGTTATCAAATCAGCCAGAGGAACGGAGGGGCCTCGGAGGCGGCGGGGCCTGGCCTTCGCCTGGTCCAGGCTGCAAGGTGCGTGGTCCTGAGGCTGCCTGCAGCGGGGGCTCCGCCATGGAAGCCGAGCCGGCCCTTGCACTGCAGAAGGGAAGCCCTGAGGGCTCGCACTGCAGCTGCTCAGGTGTTTGCAGCGTGCAGGTGGAAACACTGCTGCCAGTCATACGAAAGCAGGTCACTTCCAATTCTTGATGATGATGATAAACGACTACGGTGCTGGTTATGCATTTACTGTACTATACTTTTAATCCTTAAATTATCCTCTTCCTACTTATAAAAAGCAAGTCTGCTGTGAAGCCGCGTGTCAGGTCACGCGGCAGAAGCCTCAATCGTGTCCGGGTACTGCGTCTTGATTGCATCCTTCTCTCTGCTCAGTCTCCTCGGGGGGGGGGGGGGGTGCTTGACCAAATCTGGTGTTGTTTTGTCCACTGTGGCCCCTGAGCATACAACATCCACTGCCAGCGCTGCCAGGGCGAGGCCACGTGGAGTAACTGACCTGGAAGCGAAATTAAAAGTGACTAAGGACTAGGAAGGTGGGCAATCAGGGATGGTCAGGCACGTCCATTCCACCATGATGGCGCTGTGGAGAACAAGAAAAGGTGGCAGGAGCTAAGAAAGGCTCTGCTTCATGGAGGCTTGAGATTAACAGGTCTGAGAAGGGCTCAGACACAGGGAAGCAAACCCCCAGCCTCAGGCAGGTGGTTGCAGACGCGCCCCGGGGCACGGCTTGGAGGCTGTGCCCCAGGTTCCCTCGGAGTCAGTTCTGATCAGGTCCGTGCTTCAGCCACTGACCCTCTCCTAGTTGTTAGACATCAGTACAGGTGGGATCAACCAAGAAATGTTGAAAGATGGGATAACTTTGTGCAGCCGAAGGTGACAACCAGTGGACTGACGCCATTCTTATATCCATGAGAGCAAAAGCCACAATGTTTTACTTCTTCATTTGCACGTCTCCCTCTCCACTAGACTAAATCTATTCAAACAAAGCGTCTCTTAGGTGGTTTGTAAATGAGTGAGTATTCTTGAATTACCTCCCAAGATCTCCCTTTTTGAGTCACTAAACCTAGGTGCTACAGAAAGTGGGGTCACAAAGGTTTACGTTAGGGAACAATGTCAGAATATAGCAAAGACGTTTGCTGCCATCCATTTACTTTCCTATAAGCATAGACTGTTACTTGTAAATTTTGATGTTAAAGTGTGCATTCATTGAGAAAATAATGTTGAATTTAAAATGTATTATTTGCCCATTTAAAAATGACAACTTTTTATTGTGTGTGCATGAGTGTAGAGAGGGAGGGAGGGAGGGAGAGAGAGAGAGAGAGAGAGAGAGAGACAGAGAGAGACAGAGATTATAAGGAATTGGCTTATATAATTATGGAGGCTGAGAAATCCCAAGATCTGCAGTTGGCAAGTTGAAGACTCTGGACAGCTCATGGTGTAAGTTCCGGTGTGAGTTCAAGTACAAAGGCAGGAGAATACCAATGTTCCAGCTTGAAGACAGGCAGAGAGAGGGCATATTCTTTCTTACTCAGTCTTTTTCTCTGTGAAGGCCTTCACCGGCTTTGATAATGCCCACCAAATATCTGGGCAACCTATGTCCCAATCAAGTTGACACATAAAATTGTCACACTGCTCAGTTTTCTGTTAATCCAATTATTTGAAAGGAGGTGATCTTGAAATTAAGGTTCCAGACTGATAGTAAGATGAGAGAGAGTTGCTAGCTAGCAAATATGA